AAAACGCTGCAGGATTTCTCAAACATGCATGAATGAGTCGAAGCAAGGCTTTGGGCATGTTTTTTATGAGTGTATAACATTATAACAGGATATAAAACTCAAAAAAGTTGATTTTACATGACATTGCCCCTTTAAGAAATCCTTTATTCCCCGCTGCTGCTACTTATCGTAGTGACAAAAGTTAACACTGTCAGGACATTTCTGTGGGTAGAAAAGAATTCACTAACAATGAATGGTAGTTCAAAATGATTTACCAATAAGTGGACATCATTTGTAGATTGTTCAGAATAATGTACTTGACCCACCCTGTGACTAAATTAAAAAGCTTTATAACTTACTCTGATTTTATATAAATATAAGATTTAAGTGCAGCTCCACACCCACTTATTTATTGTTTATTTATTTTATGTTTTCAGTTCTTATGATTGTATGGGTTTTTTGGATGTAGTTCTTTGTTTTAAAAGAAAATCTAAAATGTCATGTAATACTGTATGTATATGTGAACACTTCTGTATAATCTCTCAAACAATTAAAAAGGAAGTAATTATTAAAAAACTTCTCAATAAAAAAAAAATTATATTCCACCACTGCTAATTTAAAACAATTATGTTTCACTGTACTAAAAAGAAAAAAAGATGATATTGACATGTAAAAAGGAGTACTTGTAATGTTTAATGTGCTAGAAACTTGTTGGTCACTGTGAAATACCTAACTGGATTAAAATTCACATAAACTGCTAATACAGTGTGGAACTATGGTGGGGACAAACTCACACAACACACTCAAACATCTTAGCATTTCCATACTAAGTGAGTTCCAGGAAGCCAGGCCCCTAGAGGGTATGATATTATTGAGAAGTACATTATAGCACAAACAAAGAGGGCTTTCCACAAAATTATGCAGAACTCTGTGGAAAAGCCAGTGGGTAAAGGTAACCTGGTTGTGGGGAGGCATGCCAGAAGTAATCTTTATTTAAACAAGAGCAAAGTTATACATTATAAAGTTACTCTTGCTTCACACAAAACCTAATTAATTATTGTATAAACTTTTTATGACATGTGAAGCTCTGAACACTCTGGGAAGAAAACCCAACAATCATGATAATGAGCAAATGCTGAGATTCGGTCTGTCTGATGTAAATTTGCCAGGTTCTGCCAATGAAAGGCACCCCTTGAACATGACACTGCCACCACCATGCTTCACTACAGAGATCATGTTACAAATGTAATGAAAATGTTGGTTCTGCATCACGCACACTGTTTCCCTTTTGAGTGTACATCTTATAGTAGTCCAATGGGCAGGTCATCTTTACTCAGGGACACTGCAGCACTTTTAGGCTTACCTTCAGCCTCTTCATTTCCTCCGCAGGTTTCTTGTGGTGCTGCATGAATTTGATGGTGCGCTCAGTGATATCCAAAGGGAATAAATACAGGCGTTCATCTTTTATTATTGTGTAAATTTAAGCTAAATTCAGTTTGAAGTGCTGCACTATATTTGGGTGAGAGTCTAGCCTGGGTGCCAGACTGTTGTTGAACATCAGGTCTGAAGTGATCATTGTTTATGTAACTGAATGTAGACACCTTATCAGATGGATGAAACCAAAACTTTTGCCTTTCTCATGTCTGAAAACAAAGATCTTGCCATAATTCAACACCAAGGACTGAACCAGGTTGACCCCCTAAGAGTCACTATCACATCTTAACTGTTTGCATAAATGACTTACGACATACCTCAGTGTTTCAGAGGTATGTACCTTTTGACTTTTTTTTTTTTTGTACCTTTTGACTTTAAAGTCCAGTGAGTCTGTGGAGCCTCTGTGGGAGTAATTCTCTCCGACGTACTCCGAGTTCAGCAAAGGCCTGCTGTCGTCATCCATGATCTCCTTATACTTCTGCTAAAGCCTCGCAACTCTCATCACCTGTCTGGAAGAACACAGATATTAAGTTTCACTCAGGTGATAACGACAACAACAACAAAACAAATAAAAATCTTACAAAGCACTTTTCTAGACCAGAGATTCTTAACCTATGGGCCGCGAGCGCCACCTTGAGGGCCTCAAAATAACAGTTTTTAACTTTGGGCCGCAGAGGGCCGTGGGATTGATTTTGAATAAGGTGCAATACACTTTCTCACCACTAGTAGCAGTAGTGCGCCACTCAGTTGTTTAACAACTTTTTTAATATGTAGAAGAAGAACCTTAGAAACCTGCCGAGAATGGAAACCTATTTTAAATGAAAAATAGAAGCAAAAATGAATGTAACCCATCAAAAACACCAAAGTTTGTCACTAATATGAAGTGCAGCATCTGTTTATACCATGCAATATTTTAACAGTTCAAAACATTATCAAATACAGTTGCAGAAACAACTATATTTAAATTTGCACTTTCAATTAATTTTTGTAGTTTATTTTTAAACATTTTGAATGTGTTTTAAAGAAATGTTAAACTTGTCAATAAGGTGTTGTTACTGTTATTGTTTGTCACTAATATGAAGAGCAGCTTCTCTTCTGTTTTTACCATGCAATAT